GGTAAATATAACCTACCTCATCATGGAGCCAAATTAGTCACCAGAAAACAACAGACTAACGATCCCGCGGGAGAGTCGAGTTCTCAGAAGTATAGATGTATATAATCATATTAATGGATGGCGGGGATTCTGTTTGATAATGTAGCGTGTGAGTAGTGTATACTAGTCAGTTAGGGGTTTTGTTACATTCATGTTCAATGTAATACTACTACTTATAAATACTAGTATAGAAATGTGTGATTTTTTCGGATTGCAAAACAACTGAAACTAATCCCCAGCCATATGATATATATATATATATATATGTATCCCCAACTTCATCCATCCCAATCATACTAGTACCCAGGTCCTCATCATACTTACACCCTATTTGAATCGAATGATTCTAGCTCTCACTATCCGAAATAACCGTCCCATTCACCGCACGAACATTCCTCGTGTACTGCACTCCCCCAGCATTACTTCCCCAGACATCAACCGTTTCACCATACGAGACGGAACTCTCATCATCCTCCGGTTCGAAATAATACGCTGTTCCATATTGTTCCGTATGCAGATCCAACGGCCCCGAGGTGAACGTATACGTCGAGACACCGAGCTCCCCATCACTACCGGTCGAGTCGATATCCAGGCCTCTGCGGATCCAGGCACTGATGGAGAGGCCATCTTCGAGTCCGTACGTCGTGTTACAGATTAGAGGGTACTGGAATGTGACCTCATTTGTAGATTTATTCCCGGTAAGTTGAGTGATTGTGTTAGTGCCGGAGGTCTGTTGGTTGTTTTTCTGGCTTAGTCCTTGCTGGTTTAGGTATCCGTAGTTGGAGTAGGAGAGGTTTTGGCTCCATGAGTATTCGGAGGACTTTACGGTGAATGTTCTTTCGGCTGTAACTGAGTATGATAGTGTTTCGTTGGTCCCGTTTGCACTCTGGGTGAGATCCCGTGTGACGGTGAGGGTGGGCGCCGGGGCATATATTTCGGGCGCTTGGCCGGTGGTTGTGCTGTGTGATTCAGAGGAGGAGGAGGAGGAGTCCAAGTAGAGGAAGATAGTCCCGGTGACTACCCAGTAGGAATTGACTGTGTTGGCGAATGTTACTGTTCCGTCGTCGGCAACGCTGAGGCCTGTGACTCTGATCTCGAACGAATGGGACTTGTTGTCCTTGAGCAAGGGGAGGAAGGGTGTGATATCGATCTCGGGTTGGCGTAGGTCGAAAGCGTCGATTCCTACGATAGGACGCCAGAATCCTGGCGCGACACCGCCGGTGAAGATTATGGGGAATGGCCAGTCCACGCCGGCAAGGACGCCGTCGATATAGAGCTGGACTTCGCGGAATGGGGAGTACCCGTATAGCTCACCAATGGTATTGTCGAAGGTATACTCATCGGCAGAGAGGACGTTGGACCACCAGAATTCTTCCTCTGACTGACCACATGCGGAAATGGACACAACTGCACGGGATGCTGTCGGGGGGATCTGGTATTGCACCGTGGCGTTGTCGGATGGAAGCTCAAAGTCGCTTGATGCGTTCTGGGAGGATTTGCGAGCAGAAATTGGAAGAATGACATCTGGGGTCCTGACGTTGCCCTCATATGAGAAGGAGGCTGTTAGGGTGGTGTTGAAAGAGCCGGTGTAGACATCAGTAATGATGTTGCCAAGATCGAAGATCAATTTCTGTTTTTCTTTCCATAGTACGTTGAACTGAGACATGTCTTTGATATAGGTCCAGATGATGCCGTCGGTCGTTGGTTCAGCTGTTGATGTTCGGAACACCTCTGTGTCCCCTAAGTACATGAGCGCCAGACGATCATACTGTCTGCCCTTGGAGGTGACAGTGAAATTGATGCGAACGGTGTCAAAGGTACAATTTGGTGGCTCGTAGATCCCTGGTTCATATCATTTAGCTTATGAACAACTGATCGGATCAGGCACTTTTTCTATCATACCGATGTATGGTTCCCCATAACTATAACCGAAGACATGGTCCATTAGGAGGATCTCCTCATTGCACCCAACGCTGCCATGGCCTGTGGGAACGGGCTGGTATACCTCAAAGACCTCTAGCAGAGCCCGCACTGGAGAAAACAGCAGAGATACTAGGTAGAATGCGACACCGAAAGAGACCAGCATGATTGCGGCTTTCCTGCAGGATGGGATCTACTCTTATCGGTGCGTTTCTAGAAGGATGTCTCTCTGTGGTGGTGCGACTATGTGGAAACTTCACGTGGGCGACACGAGTATGTACTGCAAGCCCCTGAAAAAGCCCCAATGCGCAAGAGAGATGCACTAAGTGCTAGTAGGGCTCAGCCAAATATGGTGCTGATGCCTGTGAATCAGTGCAGTACAACGCCATTGTTGACGCCCCAGGGGGTCGGGAAGGGTTTTTGTATGAGGCCATGGTGCATGATACATTAGTAACTAGCTGGGTTTTGTAGGGTGATAAGTTTCCAAAATGACTGTGCTCAGCATGCGGAGATTTCTCTAGTGTGCTTCTTGTTGATAGTGTACAACTAAGCCCGATTGTGATGGATCAAACCATGACAGTTTCAAGGATAGTGCTATAAGGTGATATATCGTCAGTCACACTTGAAGAAGACGTGCTAGTTTGAACAAAGCATGTTCGTTGGCTATCTGGCAGGCGAGCTAGGACGCAATTACCCCTTGTTCTTGCTGTGAGCCGATGATAAGCTGCAGAAAGATATGGATGCCATTGGAGCGGCGCAGACGCGAGGAGTTGACTAGTACTACTACCGAAGAGTGGAGCGAGAAGAACCTGGCAAAGACAGGAACGAAGATCATGCCGGGCCAATCATTGCCTAATTGTAAATGAGCGTGTTTTCCCCCTCTTTTTGACGCCGGCGGACCCCGTCGGTCCTCTGAGTATTACATGGCTTGTATGACATTGCATCGCTCTATTCTCCGCCCCCTTCATTTCCCTTATCACTGAAATCGCATGGTTCGTAATACCCCCACCTTTCTTCTACAGCAATCTTTAGGCGAGCAGCCGATCTAATGCAGAATGAGCCAATTAGTGGTGGTAACATAAACATGTCACGGAATTGCATCATATCATTTCACAGCTCGCCTCGTTCCATGCCGGCATCACGGCCGCCGGACACAGGCAGGATAGGAGTCCCATCCCACAAATTATGTACTACACCTCTGAAGATAACAAATAAAGCAATAGTATATATATATATAGAATGATTACGGAAGCCACCACATCGCTAATTGAACAAAAGAGAAGAGAAAGCCGGCCACCTGTTCCTAATCCCGCCACATTTTTCGGCGGTAAGGAGTAATAGTGGGGAGTTGATATGAAGGCAACAGACAAGGCATCTTTTAATCCGGCCGACGGGACCGAAAGCCCACAGAATGATAGGTTCACATGAAGAGACGCCAGGCACCAAGAATCAGAGCAGCGGTACCAGTGCATACACCCCTGGAGAAGATCTGTCAGCATTGTATTGTGTGAAATGTCGGATACCACTTACATGAGCCACTGTAGTGTAGAGAACTTGACAGCCTCTACACGCTCTCTCAACCCAGCCACCTCCTGCTCAATTCTCGTTTCCGTCTCCTTTATACGCATTTCTTGGCCATTGGCTTCTTCCCGGATACGACCCTTCTCCAGGTTCAGATCCAGTCGCACTGATGCCTGCGTGCGACCGATCTCGTCGCGTAGACGAGAGTTGAGTTTGGCCAGATCTGCGGCGATCTTTTCGTGCGATGAGCGAGTCAATTGCGCTTCGGTAGAATCTGCGTTGAGGAGCTCGGAGCGGAGTTTGGCAAAGTCGACTTTTTGTGTATAGGCCGACCGTTCCGTGTCTGTAGAAATGGACTTAGAATGGAAATGCTCTTGGGTATAGCATGCATAAACCACAGGAGTGACTAACCTTCCCGAAGCACCATTGTCCGAGTCAAGTTCTGAATGGACTCCTGAATGACGTCGTTCAGGACCCGCATCATAGCAACAGCCTGCTCTTCGCTAAACCCCTCATCTTTCAATCGCTGGACAAATTTCAATGTATCAAAGTGATGGTCGCGCTGGCGCGGAGCGGACGCATGAAAAGCTCTCCGAGCCGGGTTGAATGCAGCGACATAGACACCATTATGTCGGATGGGGTTCCCAAGGGGTGCGGCTGGTTGGCTGGCCGGCTTGGTTGTGGAAGGGAAGCGTCTTGCGATCGATGTGCCTAGATCTCGGGCTGTTGCGGGGAATGTTGTAGAGGCAGTGGACGGGGAAGTCGAGGTATGCAGTTGTCGTCCAGCAGGAATCCGATTCCGTACGATATACTGCTTTTGTTGGCGCTTCGCCGGTAGGGCGGTAGTCTGGGGAGAGGTAAAAGTAGTGCGAGTCGAGGAGCCGTTCCAAGTCAGACGGGGAATCAGGGAACGGGGCACCTCTGCCACCGATTTCTGAGGCGCCATGACTCTCAGCTACGAGAAGCGTGAGCCAGACAGCGAGAGATATGATGAGAGAAGGGATCTAGCCTAAAGCCGTGAGAACAGTCAGGCTGATCGAGTAGTTGGAGTTGGGTTGGATGTTATTAGATGATCTAATCGTCGGGTTAGTTACATCTCGGCGTGAGAGTGACTAACTCCGCCCGGTCTCCCATTCTGCCAGTCACCTCACCGCCCAGGGCAAAATCTGGACGGCCACACGTGACTCATTATCGGAGTATAGCATCAGGTGACTCGGCAGTTTGTGGCTACCGAAATTCATGCCTGAACTCTTAGGCTGCAAGGTTATTACATTTCCCCGGCATTTCATAGAAAGAGCCCTTCTTCCTTCTATACAACTTCCTCTCGCCAGTCAAGTGTGTTTGGAGAAACTCCCATCTGTCTATCTACCATGACATCTTGGGATTCAAACTACCCCATAAACCCCAGTGGCTTCCCCAGTGGGCTCCCCGCCACCAGTACCTGGGAGATGAAAGACTGGAACTTAAAGATATAGCCGATGACTTCAACCATCGGCCGCCATCGGCTGTGTGGTCGGCAGTCAGTCGGATTCTCATTATAATGATTATTATCGCCGGTCACCCCGCCATCTGCCCCTCATCATTGATTTCGTTGCAGTTACTCTCTCTACTTCTCTTGGTGTCAGCTGTCCCTGCTTAACATCATATTCAAAATGACGACCCCCGGCCTTCTCTGGGTGACGATGAACCCTCGTCCCTCCCTCCCTGCGGCCCAATTCCACGACTGGTATAATACCGAACACGGTCCTCTGCGCCTGCGTCTGCCCTTCTGCACCAATGGCTTCCGCTATCGCGCAACCGACGGCGAGGAGCCCGAGTGGGTGGCACTCTACGACATTACTGATATGGTTGAGTTGACGCGCGAGACCTACCTCGCCCTCCGCGGCGACACCATTAAGACCCCCCGGGAAAAGGCGACCATGGCCCAGATTGACGTCGATCGCCGGCTCTACGATACCGTTGTCGAGCAAAAGGCGGCTGATTACAAACCCCTCGAACTCACCCCCGACACCGAGGCTGCCGGCTCTGCCCTCGTCGCCGTCTCTCTCTCCCTCTCCTCCGCCGACGCCGCTAAGGAGGACGAGTTCACCCGCTGGTACCGCGAAGAGCACATCCCCATGCTGTCCCGCGTGCCCGGCTGGCGCTCCTCCCGCCTCTTCGTCACCTCCACCATCGACCCCAAAGCCCCACGCGAATACCTCGCCGTGCACGAGTACGCTGCCCAGAATGGTCTGGGCGGTCCCGAATACAAGGCCGCCACCGACACTATCTGGCGCACCCGCATCATGACCGACGTTGTGGCTAAAACCCGCCGTCGCACCTACCAGTGGGCCTACACCTTCGGACCCGCTCCCCGCGAGCTGTCCTCCCTGACCTCCCCGGATGTCATCGGTCCCTGGTCGTCCATTGACGGCAAAACCCGCACCTTGCCCTCTCCCACCCGCCCGGCCGTCGAGTCCTTCGTCACCACCCCCGACGGCGTCGAGCTCCCTTACCGCCTGGAGGGTAGCACCGACCCCCACAGCCCGGTCATCGTGCTCAGCAACTCCATCCTGGTGGACTACACCATCTGGGACGACTTTGTCGACCAGTTCCTCTCCGACCCTCGCAACCAAAACTTTCGCATTGTCCGGTACTGCACCCGTGGTCGGCAGCAAGAATGCGGCGAGAAGCCCGTCAACATCGATCTACTGGCCTCCGATATCATCGCGCTGCTGGATGCTCTGCGCGTTCCCAAGGCCACCCTTATCGGTGTCAGTCTGGGTGGTGTGACCGTGTTGAACACCTCCCTGCTGTACCCGGAGCGCGTGGAGCGCTTCATCTCCTGCGACACCAACAGCTCCAGCCCCGAGACGAACCGTAAGGCCTGGAACGAGCGTGTCGAGCTGGCAGCCAGCGAGGGCGCCGTGTCGCCCACCACGCAACAGGCGATTGTCGGCGAGAAGCTGGCCGAAATTACCGTGCGGCGCTGGTTCACAGCTGAGTCGTACGAGACACAGCCCCATCTCCCCGCTAAGGCGAAGGAATTGGTGCGGACGAACAGTCTGCCCGGCTTCAGACAGAGCGTGCAGGCCCTGTGTGCCTATGATGTGCGGGACCGGATGGCACAGGCACAGGTGCCTGGCCTGTTTGTGGCCGGCGAGAGTGACGGTGTGCTGCCAAAGACGATGCAGCAGATGGTGGCAGACCTGAAGAGCGCTTCTGAGTTGAAGTTGGTGCCGAAGGCGGGTCATCTGCCGATGTTGGAGAATGCGACGGCATTTACGCAAGTGGTGAATGAGTACCTGCACTAGAAGCAGCTGATGTACAGAGCTGTTATGTATATAGATGATCAGCGAATGACAAAGTTGATACATGGTATTTGGGTCAATCGTATTCTAATAGTAGTTTGTAGGAAACTTGCCGATATCCGAGGTGCGGGGTCAGCTTATCTTCCCCTCTTCTTCACTCATATCCCTTATATTGTGATACTTCCCTAGTATCTCATCCCCCAATCCCTATTCTCAACATTATCCATCAGATAGTAAACGAATCAAGCTACAATGGCCCAATACGAGCTTCCATTCCAAGTATGTCCCACTCTAACCCTAATCTCCCATTCCTCTAACTCACGCATCTAGCTCTCCGACCCCTCCATACTCCACTTCGATGCCTTCGTCAACAACACCTGGATCAAATCCCAAAGCAACCAGCACTTTGAAGTCATCGGTATGCCATCCCCCTCCCTCACCCCTATACCTTCATCTCCCCAAAACCCCCATCCTAACCAAATCTCCAACCACAGACCCTGGCACCTCCCACCCCTGGGCCCAAATCCCCACCTGCACAGCTCTCGACGTCCCCCACGCCGTAACCTCCGCACACACAGCATTCCTCAGCTTCCGCCACACCACCGCGCACTACCGCTCCGAGCTCCTCACAGCCTGGGACACCCTCATCCGGGCCCACAAAACCGACCTAGCCAAGATCATCACCTACGAGACGGGCAAACCGCTCGCCGAAGCACTGGGCGAGATCGCCTACGCAACCTCCTTCACACGATGGTTCGCGGGCGAAGCCGAGCGCGTCTCCGGCACGATCAGCTCCTCCGCCGTTCCGGGCCGTCGCATCATGACGATCAAGCAGCCCATCGGCGTAGCGGCAGCTCTAGTACCGTGGAACTTCCCGGTGGCGATGGTGCTGAGGAAGGTCGCGGCGGCGATCGCGGCGGGGTGTACGATGGTTGTGAAGCCGTCTCCGGAGAGTCCTGTGTCTGCGTTGGCTATTGCGGGGTTAGCTATGCGGGCTGGGTTCCCGGCGGGGGTGGTGAATGTGTTGACGACGGATATGGAGAATACGCCTTCGTTAAGTGAGGCGTTGTGTCGACATGAGTTGGTGAAGAAGGTGACGTTTACAGGGTCGACGAGGGTGGGGAAGTTGATTGCGGGGATTTGTGCGGATGGGTTGAAGAAGGTGACGTTGGAATTGGGAGGGAATTGTCCGTTTATTGTGTTTGAGGATGCGGATTTGGAGGCCGCTGTGGCGGCGTTGATGAATCTGAAGTGGAGGCATGCGGGTCAGGCGTGTATTACGGCGAATCGGGTGTATGTGCAACGGGGGGTCTATGAGAGGTTTGCGGGGTTGTTGAGGGAGAGGACGGAGAAGTTGGTTGTCGGGCATGGAATGGAGGAGGGGTGGGGATGGGGCCGTTGACGACGGAGAGGGGGGTGGGAAAGGCGGAGATGCAGATTGAGGATGCGAGGAGGTTGGGCGCTGAGGTTATTTTGGGTGGGGGGAGAGTGGAGGGTAAGAAGGGGTATTTCTTCCAGCCGACGATTCTGACGGGCATGACGAAGGAGATGTTGGTTAGTCGGGAGGAGACGTTCGCGCCGGTGGCGGCGTTGTATGCGTTTGATACGGAGGATGAGGCTGTGCAGTGGGCGAATGACACTAGTATGGGGCTGGCGAGTTATGCGTTTACGAAAGATGCGGATCGCTTGTGGAGGTTGTTTGAGAAGCTGGAGGCCGGTATGGTGGGCTTGAATACGGGGAGTATGTCGGCTGCGGAGGCGCCGTTTGGGGGTATGAAGGAGAGTGGGTATGGAAAGGAGAGTGGGAAGGATGTGGCTGTGGATGAGTATTTGGTTACCAAGACGGGGACTTTGACGGTGCAGGGGCATTATTAGGGTTGGCCTTTGGCTTGGCTTGATTTTTGGGAGGCTGAGGCTAAATTGAACCGCTAGCTAGTATGAACATGTTGGCATCGAATTCTTCATATGTACATGGATGTTTAGTCCACCCGGTCCAGCTTCTGCACGACCATCGCGCTAGCTGCTCCGCCGCCATTGCAGATGGCTGCCACACCGTACTCGCCTGGCTGTAGCTGGTGCAGCAGCGTCACCAGGATGCGCGAGCCCGAGCTGCCCAGCGCATGACCCAGCGAGATGGCGCCACCCAACGGGTTGACTCGCGCGTTTTGCAGTCCCAAAATCTGTCTGGTTAGCCATATTCCATGAATGTCAAAGGCATAGGTGTAGTACTCACCTTCTCATTGGCCTTGATCACCGCCGCAAATGCCTCGTTGAACTCCCAAACCGCCACCTGGTCCTTGCTGATGCCCGCGCGCTCCAGCGCAATCGGCACCGCCTTGGCCGGGGCCACAGGGAAATCGACAGGGTCAATAGCGGCATCAGAAGTAGAAACAATCCTCGCCAGAGCACGATTTCCCGTGCCAAACTCCCTCGCCAGCTCACGACTAGCCACCACCAC